GGCCGCTTGTGTGGCTGGATCTTGGATTTACTCTCATCTGGGAAAACGGCCGTTACTCTTAATGATGTCCCAGGAGTTGGATCACTTGCCGGAACGGGCTGCGGCAGGGTGATCCAATCTCTTCATATCTCTTTATCATCATCGTGGACCTCCTTCAGCAGCTAATTCTTAAAACTCACACCAGTGGTAACACGGACCTACACCACCTCATGTACCCAGACCTCCCTCCCACCATTCTCTAGTACGCGGATGACACGCTAATCATAGCCAAATCCTTAGTTCGTGCTGCGGAGACCCTTAAAATAATCTTGGATAACTTTGCATTAGCAACTGGCGTTACCATCAACTTCACTAAGACTACATTTGTCCCTCTTCACACTGACGATTTAACTGCGACTCCCATTGCCACTGCCCTAGGTTGTGAAACTTCTTCATTCCCATAGACGCACCTCGGTCGACCCCTTTCACCGCACAAATTCCCTCCCTGTGCTTTCCAACCAATCATCACAAACTGTTACAAATACCTAACTAGTTGGCGAGCAAAGCTACTAACCGGAAGCACTGGGCTAATTCTTTTGTCCTCAGTCTTAGACTCTCCCGGTACCTATATCTATTTTTCAACTTCCAAAAAAAGTGCTTAAAGAGATCAACACCATTTGAAGATATTTCTTTTGGATTGTTGAGGACACGTGTATAGGGGCAAAATGTTTGATTGCTTGAAAAAATATTTGCAAACCGAAAGAATTCAGAGGTCCAGGAATAAAAAATCTAGAAGTCCAAAACAATTGCCTCCTAATGAAATTCGATTTCAAATGCCTCACCTCACCCTTCCCTATTCCTTGGCTAACATGGTACATCAAACATCATCAAAGCTCCATGCTGCACTCCACCCACACGACTTTCCTAGCTAAGATTATTCAAACCCACATGCCCACGCTACTTACCATTTCATTTGTCCTCGCCAATAATGGAAACCATAACTTTTTTTTTGCAAAGATACTTTGTTAGCTCCACATCCTCTTGTTGCCATGTACTTAGGCCTATATTACCACTCTACAAGCCAAGATATTCTTGTATCCAAAGTATTGCAAGACGGACTACAATCGAACCTGCAAAATCGGCTAACCAATGCTACGACAAACGAGCTGGATGCTTTGTTAATGTTGTTGAAGGGCTTTAGGTTCTCCACCGAGCAAGATTAGAGAGTGCTCACTCATGGCTAAAAGTTCTCCTCCAAAGCTACTTAGTGCTTACAACATTCTTGTTCACGAAGAGTGACAATGTGATCACGCTGCTCTTATTTGGTGCACCCGGGATCAACTTTCTAGTTGGTCACCCATTCTCAAATTGCTCCAAACCAAGCACGCTTAACTTTGAGGTTCCTTTCAAATGGGCTCCCGGAAAAAAAGGTGCACGTTGTTAATATGAGTAGTCTATCATTCCTGTTAAGCCGGGTGTCACACTCAGGTCAGGTAACGGTGCATCTACTAGTTAATGGAAACTTGTATTACCCTGTGTCAATGGTTTTGGCAATATTGTTGTTGTGTGCTCATTCGGCGACCTCTGGTTTTGCCTCCGCCATGGCCCCTGGCACTCTATCCTGCCTTGTCAACCTCTCTTTTTTTGCCTATGCTTCCATGTGTATGATGTGAAATAAACGGTGTTGCATCCGTCAACCAAGGTTGATATGCTGTGTCGTGTTTATGTACTCAGTATTCTGGTGTTTCTTGCTTCGGCAAGGTGTATTGCCCCTCGGACTGTTACGGTTTTCAGGTAGATTTCCAACATAAACTGGTCATGGTTTTTGACATAGATTCACAGGTAAACTGACTCAATTTCAGTTGAATCCTGATCAATATACAAGTGGGGATTCCTCCCCCTCAACAACCAATTCGAAAAGAAAACATGAGGGGGCAAATGTTGAGATATAAAATTAAATGCAATCCACAATTTGAGCGGAAGTTGGGCTAACTATAGAAAAAAATAGAGACACGGTTAGATATTTTTTAAACAACTTTTTTAGATCTTTATTATGATATCTAAAGATCTTTGAGTATACATGAACACATGCATATATACAAAAAATACATATGTATACACTGTATAATTATGAACCCATCAAAAGTTAATTCAAAGAGAACTTTTGTCACTACATGAGCGGCACTGAGTGGGTAAGTGGGTGGAGGTTCAACTATAAGTGGAACCGCAAAGGGGAACGCAATCATCGGTGAGAGAGGATGATGAGCAAAAGAGGGAGAGTGATGGAAATGGAGTATATAATAGGTTTTTTCTTCATTGCCATATAGAACTACCTCTCATATCCTTGAAGATAAGAATGAGACTTGTGATCCAATTCTTATCAAGAATGGAGATGCAAAACTTTAATATTGTAATATTATTATCTTACTTCTAAAAGTCTTCAAACTATGAATGACTTTGATAGACCTCGAAGTGTCTTTCTTCTGTCTAGTGAATTTACGATATCCTCGATAGATCCAGATCTTTTCGCTTTTGGCCAACTCTACCCTTATTTTGCTTTGAGACATCCACTTCTTCAGCTTCTGCAATCTATTGATTTGATTCTCACCATATTATTTCAATAGTGTTTAGACTTGTCTTCAAGAGGCTTGCAACGAGCTCTTTGTTTTTTTAACTTCTCAACCTTTGCTCTAGATTACTTTCAAAGGAAAATAAACACCAAACTTGTGCTCATCTGATAGGTTTATTGAAGTTCTTCTTACTGAATGATCAACATTTGCAAAGATGAGCAAAAGATAATTCAGGAACATGCTTTCTTGCAAAATAACAAGATCATCGAGTAGAACAAATTCATGAAATGAAAATGCAACTAGTACATGGAGTAGAACATGCTTTCTTGCAAAAAGATCAAATCCATGGAATAGAACATGCCAGTAGTACTAGATCATGTTTCCTATTATTACATGTTGCTTCCTCCTAATGAATAGTTTCTTGATGAATTCCTTCCTCCTCATGAATAGCTTCTTGATGATGTCTAGGTTTATCTTGTTAATGACTGAAGTTGAGATCCAGCATCTCCATTGGAGGACTGAAGTTGAGATCCTACAACATCTCCTCTCATGATAAATAAGGAGCAAAAAAGCAAATCATCTAGCTGTTGGAAATATGCCCTAGATGCAATAATATTTGTATTATTTATTTTCAGATTTATAGTTAGATGTTTTTTACTCTATGCTATAACTGACATGGTTCTTGAATATGTGATTTAGAGGAAAACATATAGGCACATGTAGAGTTATAAACGGTAAAACCTGGTTCTTTGTCTAGCCTCTAGGACTAGCTCGAGTGTTCTGTGATGATCATGTTTCGAGAGAAACCGAAAGCGCTTTGGGGTTACCGGGCAGAAGTGTTTCAGGGAATACCTTGTAATACTGGGAAATAAAATATAGGCAGAAATAGTTTCTAAGGATGTAATATAAATAATAGCGGTCTCTAATATTGATTAAGAGTCCCCTAGGATTTATTTAGGGGTTATGGGCTAAAGAAAATAGCTAAAGGCCACATAGGGGAAAGTTAATGGGCCCTATGAGCCGAATAAGGTTGTGGCACCCCCTTAGCTTGTGAGAGATGCTTGGGGGAGCGAAACCAGTTGGAGGAGCTCCCTGGTTGGCGCACCAAGGGAGGAAGACCTCCTCCCCAAGTCATGGGGAGGGGGGCATCATTGCAACAAAACGATGAGAAAATTTGTTGCATCGAGTTTTGGGCTAGGAGGCCCACAAATCCAACTGCCGAGGGAAGCCATATCGAACGGCTC